GTTTTTAGTATCTTTGTAGTATAATTTTAAGTCAGGGATTGTGATGCCCTCCCTCTGCCTTACCTTTGTTGCCCAGAATTGTTTTTGCTATTCTAGGTCTCTTCCTATTCCAATCTGGACTTTTCATACATGTGGAATTATATACACTAGGTAACTTTTGTGCCTGGTGTCTCCCACTTCACATAACCCTTTCCACGGCTGTGTCAATGACCGAGCAAGATGAATCCGACCTATCTGTCCATGGGTGGACATTCTGGGCTGCTTCTGCTCTTTGGCTATTACGAATATCGCTGCTGTGAGACTTCCTGTAGAAATACTTAGGTCTTCTGTTCCCCTGGGAACCTCGAGGTGGGATCGATGCTCGTTTGGTCACTCCATTAGAGGAACAACCAGATGGTTATTCCTCAGGAATGGTCCTGCTTTGCATTCCCATCGGCACGTCTGCTGTCCCACATCAACAATACCTGTTATTGCTCATCTTTTTCTTTTTTTCTTTCCCGGTACCGGGAATAGAACTCACGACGTCGCGCTTGCCAGGCAGGCGCTGTGCCGCTGAGCTAAATCCCCAGCCCTGCTCATCTTTTTATTATAGCCATGCCAGCTCATGAGAAGCCGTGTGATTTCCATTTCCCTAATCACTAATGATGTGCTTGTTGGCCATTCATGTATCTTCTTTGGAGAAATATCTATTTTAGTCTTTTTTTTTTTTTTTTTTTTGAGACATGGTCTACCTATGTAGTGTAGGCTGACCTTGAATTAACTTATGTAGCCCAAACTATCCTCAAACTCACAGTAATCCTCCTGCCTCAGCCTCCCAAGTGCTGGGATTACAGGCATGCGCCACCACACCCGGCCCTTTTGTCCATTTTTTAATGGGGTTGTTTGTCCTTTTGTTGAATCGTAAGGGTTCTTTATATAGTCTGACTACTTATCCCTTATCAGATCTATGATCTACAAATAATTTTCTTTCTTCTTTTTTTTTTTTTTGTTTTTTTTGAGACAAGGTCTTGCTAGGCAGTTCAGGCTGGACTTGAGTTCACTATGTAGCCCAGGCTGGTCTCAAACTCACAATGATCCTCCTCCCTCAGCCTCCCAAGTGCCACCATGCCTGGCTACAAATAATTTTCAAATCAGAAAAATACTTCCTTCCTGCAAATTACCTTTTCACTTTCCAGAGTATGTCCTCTGATGCACGGTAGTGTTTAATACACAATCTTTAAAATACTTATCATAGTAAAGGCAACGCATTTTATTACAATCATGAGCTAAAGGAGAAAACCATTAACATGTGGTGTTGGGTACCACTCAGCAACAATTCCTAAGTAAATCCCCCAGTTAAACAGAACTAGGAGAAAACGATGAAGTTTTGATCATTCATTCTTTTTTTTCCCAGCTGTGCTGGGGATCGAACTCACGCTAAGCAAGCACTCTACTGCTGCTGAGTAGTGCTGTGCTACTCCAACTAGCTGGGATTAGAAGTACGTATGTGCTACCATACCCAGCTTGTTTGTTTTATTTCTGGTACTGGGGACTGAACCCAAGGCTTTCACACTGAGCTACATCCCCAGCCTATTTTTTCCTCTGAGACAGGCTCTTGTCACTAAATTGCCCAGGCTGGGTTTGAACTTGAGATCCTCCTGCATCAGCCTTCTAAGTGCTGATCACAAGTGTGTGCCATCACACCTGGCAACTATTTGCTGGCCAGCAGTAACTGTGACCTCATGAGACCTGGTTGAAGTGTCTGCTGTGAGAAAAAGCAAGGCATCAGGTGCCTGTGATGACTCAGAATGATGTCAGGGTTTAGTTTAAGGCCCCGGGGCCATAAAGTAAAATGATGAGTATGGATATCTCAACAGAAGGGGAAAAGATAGCTTTATTCATAGATATTATTGTAATCTGGGAAGTATGGGACTCTCCAAAAACATTAAAGTTTGTAAGAGACTTTGCTAAAGGTGGCTGCAAGAATTATGTCCAAAAACCAATGGTTTTTCTTTGAATTGGCAATAACCAAAAAGGAAACACTACAAAGAAAATGTCCTATTTATAAAAGCAAAAAGAGGGTCAGGGATATAGCTCAGTGGCACAGTGTCTACCTGGCAAGTTCAAGGTTCTGAGTTCAATTCTCTGTACAAAAAAAAAAAGCAAAAAGAAGCTGGACATGGTGATGCACGACTATAATACCAGCACTTGGGAGCCTGAGGCAGGAGAATCGTTAAGAGTTCAAGACCAGCCTTGGCTACAAAGTGAGCTCGAAGCCAGCCTGAACTGCATAGAAAGACCCTGTCTTAAAAAGACAAATAAAAAAAAAAATTGTTAGTAAAAAGTATAGAAAAATGCTTTGATAGTTTTTAAAAAGTTCCTATAAAACTACTTGGGGCAGACTGCTGTTTACCCTTCCTCACTAATAAAATGTATTAATGGGGTGCCAGTGTGTCTACCCAGTGATATTACTTTATAACTTGTATATTTCCTTCTCTTCCTTAAAGACACAGTTTTGTGTATCTTTTGTGTGGAGGTGCATGCGTGTCATCCCAGCACCGTGGGTGGGAGGCTGAGGCAGGAGGATTGCAAATTTGAGCCCAGTCTGGAAAATCTAGCAACTCAGTGAGAACCTGTCTCAAAATACAACAATAAAATAAATGATAATAAAATAACAATAAAACATAGCCTAGTGTGCATAGCCTGGGTTCAAACCTCCAGTACCACCAAAAAAAAAAAAAAAAAAAAGATACAGCTTCACGACTAAAGTGTAATGGAAAGCTGAGAAATACTATCTCTAGACTCTTTCAAAGAGGGTAAACAAAGGTTTGGAACCTGATGTGGTGGCGCACATATTTGTAATACTAGCACTGAGGCAGGAGGTTCACCAAGAGTTCAAGGCCAGCCTAAACAATGAGACCCTGTTTCAAAAAAAAGAAGGTTTGGAAAAGGCCCTTTCTCTTCTCTCCTTTTCCTCCTCCTTCTTTCTTCTACCTGAAATGGAATGTCAATATGCTGTCCAGAACTCCAGAAGTCACCTTGAAGTATGAGTTAATTTTAATAATGGTAACCAGAGGACAGTGGAGAAACCGGAAGGACCCAGTCCTGCACATGATGCTACCATATTATTAGCTCCAGGCTACCAATCTGGAATTCTTTTATCTCACAGAGAAATAAACTTCTGATTTATCCAAGTATTAGGATTTGCTGTGTCTATATGTTACTGATTCAAACTCTACCTGATATACCACTATACACAGAGCATTATTATGTTGATAAAGAAAAAACAAATAGCCAGCCATGGTGGCACATTCCTACAATCCCAGCACTCAGGAGGCTGAGGCAGGAAAACTGCCTTGAGTTCAAGGCCAGCCTGAGCTACATAGTGAGTTCACGGCCAGTTCGAACTACATAGTGAGACCCTGTTTCAAAAAAACCAAAAAGAAAAAAAGAAGTAAAGAAAAACAAAGAAATGACTGTGAGTGGAATAAAATAGAAACCTTGGAAATAGATCCCAGTATTTATAGGATTTAATAAATATAAAGCTCACAGTTTAAGACCGTTGGAAAAGAACATTTTATTTATGAAGTATAACTGACATACTGGCTGTCTGGAAACAAAGCTAAATCCTTCCTCACATCACAAATTAGTTCTAGGTGTATCAGAGATCTAACAACAAAATGAGTAAATTAATTGCTCAGGAATGAGTAAATTCAAGTGAGTAAATTAATAAAAGAGAAACTGGGAGAATATTTGCGTAAGCTTAGGCTAGGAGCTTTGTTAAGCAAAGCAGGAAGCCTAAAAGCCGTATCACATCTGGATCAATTTTGATTCCCTCCCCTTTTTCTCTGATTTCTTTCCCAAACCCCCAAAGTCTCTCCTTTAGTTTACTCTGTATTTTGAGTTTCTCATATAAGAGAACCTGTGTGACATTTAACTTTCTGTACCTGACTTTTTTCACTTCGCATTATGCTCTCAAGATTCACCCACTTTGTTTGTTTGTTTTTGAGACAGGGCCTCGATGTGTAGTGCACGCTGGCCTCAAACTCAGGGTGATCCTCCTGCTGCAGCCTTCCGAGGGCTCGGACTACAGGCCTGTGCCTCACATCCGGCCTCATCTTTTTTTTTTTTTTTTTTTTTTTTTGCAAGTGACCTGTCTTCCTTCTTCTTTATGGCTGAATAAAATACCACTGTATATATACCACGCTTTGTTTATTCATCTGTCTCTTCACACGATGTTCAGAGAGCTTCCAACTTTTTCAATATTGTACATGAGGCCACGATGTTGTTTTTTTTTTTCTTTTTGGTTACTGAGAATCGAACTCAGGACCTTACGCTTGCCAGGCAGGCACTATGTGGCTTACAATGAACATCTTTTTTTAACAAAGAATTTCCTCTGCCTTTTGCGTCCTTTCCTTTGGATAGGAAATGCTGTCAAGAGCTAGGGGCATTTTTCAGGCTTCTGATAGTGCCGCTTCCAAATTGAATCCTCTGGCACCTTTCCACCCCACGGCCACGAAAATGTCCCGGACCCCGAAAACGGACCCATCCTCGTGGCTGGCACCAAGACGATCATCACGATAACAGCCATGACAACCTGATTCCCGACCGAAGCCACCTCTCAGGACGAACCAAGGACACAACAGGGTGGGAAGTCAGAGAAATGAGGATCTTCCTGTCCCATGCTTGGGCATTGTCCGTTCCGGACACTCCCAGACAAGAATACGACAGCGCCTCCGCACCCAGGGACATGGCAAACCAGGGACAAACAAGCAGCGTGGACTCCACAGAGCCGCTGACGCCAGGACGTCGCCCGCCACGGCCGACACGAAAACCACGGAGACAAAACGCGTACCCGGATCCCGAGCGAGCTGCGCAGCCGCAACAGAGTGGGCGGGGCCGAGCGCGGGGGCGGGGCTGGCCCGGGTCTCGCGCCTGCGCACGACGTTCAAGCGCTTTGGCGGGTTTTTCCCCGGGCTGCTGGGTTCTGCTTCCCCGCACAGAAAATCCTGGCCGTAGACTTTTGGAAGCAGGACTCGCCTCTGCGGAGCGACCTGTGCCGATTCCTACACCTTCCCTTCGGGAACGTGCGGGGCCACCTTTACTTTTTTTTTTTTAAGTAGATATTTCTCCGCGGCTGACGGCTGGACCGTCTCTGACAGCCTGAGGCTTGTGGTCGCCTGCAGTCTCGGCCCGGAGGGAAAGAGGGAACCTCGCCTGCCCGTCGACCTCGCGGCCCGGGCTTCGAGGGTCCGGTGGGAGCTGGGCCGGCTAGCCCGGCCGCTCCTGGCGCGCCATGTCCGCGTCCACCCAGCAGCTGGCGGAGGAGCTGCAGATCTTCGGCCTGGACTGCGAGGACGTTCTGATTGAGAAACGTGAGTCCCCGCCGCCCGCACAGGACGCAGGGGTCGCTTCCCAGGGTCCCCGCCCTCCGCCGGCGGCCTCGGGGGCCGGGAGCGTTGGGGTCGGGCATCTGCGAGTTTGGAAAGCCCGTGGGGTGCTGGGTCGGGTCCTAGGTCAGAAAATAGGAACGTCCTCTGGCACGATGACGCATGCCTGTAGTCCCAGCGTGAGAGGCTGAGGCAGGAGGATTACAGGGGCTTCCAGGCCAGCCTGGGCTACATAGTGAGACCCTGACCCCCAAAAAAAGAAAGACAAAATATAAAATGTGAGGCTTCTGCAAGATGGAGTTGGGACGTGCTAGGTCCCGGTGGCGTCGCCAAATGTGGAAACTGCTGAAGGCCTGATAACAAAGCAAGACACTTGTGGGTTTTGAAATGTTTTCATTCTTTTTTTTTTTTTTTTGTCTTTTTGAGACAGGCTCTCGCTGTGCAGTTTCCTTGAGCTCACTTTGTAGCTCAGGCTGGTCTCGAACTCACAGCGATCCTTCTGCCTCGAAATGTTTTTATTCTTGACCCCTCCATTCTTTTTTTTTTTTTTTTTTGTATCGAGAATCGAACTCAGGACCTCGTGCTTGCCAGGCAGGCGCTGTGCCGCAGAGCTGCATCCCTGGCCCGACCCCTCCATTCTTGACTGTTCCTTTACCTAAGCTCTGCCGACCCATCTCTCCGCAGGGCTGTCGGTGTCGGCCCATGTTTGGCTCTCTCGAGGTGGAGCCCTAAACTGAGTGTTAGCTTTGGAAGGACCTGGAAGGAGCTTGTGGGCACGCTTTGTTGCTCAATGGAGGAGCGCTAGCTGCCTGGGCTGGGGATGAGCCCAGATCTGCCCAGGAGTGCAGGCTTCAGCACCCTGGGCCAGGCGATCCCATGGTGAGGAGTTACTCCGAGCCGAGGCTTGGGCGGTGCCCAAGGTCTCAGTTTCAGAATTGGGATGAAATGCACCTGCCTTAACCACTCATCCCATCCCTATTTTTTAAATATTTTTTAAAAAATTTTTTAGTTTTTTTGAGGTGCTGGGGATCAAACTCAGACCCTCATGCGCGCTGGGCAAGTACTCCATTGCTGAGCTACATTCTCAGCTCAGAACATATTTTCAATATCAAACCAGAATGCAAATGTGTTAATTCATGACGAGAAACTCCTCTCAGAGACCAGAAGACTTGAAGTCCTTCTGGACACTTAAGGAGAGGAGGCTGTCTTTTCTTAGAAGACTTAAATGAGAAACCTGGTCATAGTCGGAAACTCATTTGGTGAGCATGACATCAAAGCATGAGAAATTCGTTACGTGAACCAGATCTGGCAAGGCTGCCCACCAAGATGCCTGCTGTGCCGCACACAGGATTACCTCGGCAGCGGTGCTGGTCGTTAATGTCCGTGGCGCCTTAGTGTGCCTCACGCTCATGCCATATTTTCCTGGTCTGTTCACACTGCATCTGCTAGGTGGCTATTTTTTTCCTTTTCCTCCTTTAACATCCTGAGAAAATAGAAGCATTGGGAAGCTTCTGTCAGCTACCAACATTCCTTCTCACCAGTCTCTGTGTGTGGCATAGACAGGCACCTGCTCAATAAAATTCAGTATTCCTGGGAAACACCAAACTTTCCACCTGAGTCCTAAATACCATTCCTTCTCACCTACCTCAGTTCATCACTCCAGTAAGTTCTTACATATTTCTACTTCTCTCTCCCCAAGATTTCTTTTCCTTTTTTTTTTTTTTTTTTTTCTTGAGATAGGGTCTGCTATATATTCTAGGCTGGCCTCGAACTTATGGTGACCCTCCTGCCTCAGCCTCCTAAGTGCTAGGATTACAGCTATGCACCACCATGCCCAGCCTTTTTATCTAAATAGTGTAGAAATGTGGTTCTGCTCCTGCCTTTAAAATAGTTAGTGGTGGTACACGCCTGTGATTCCTGCACTTGGGAGGCTGAGGCAGGAGGATTGTGGCAAGTTCGAGGCCAGCATGGGCTACAAAGTGAGCTCAAGGCCAGCCTGAACTACATAGTGAGACCCTGTCTCAAAAAGACAAATAAATAAATAAAACTAAGTTCCTCTAGCTCCTCCTTTCCTCAGAGTAGTTCCTCCAGCACTTTTCATTTCATTTCATAGATCCTCAGCCTTCTAAAACCCTCATCATCAGCCTGGACTCCTGTGTTTCTCATACCTCCCATCCAGCCAGCGAATCCCCCTGGCTTCACCTTCAGGACGTGTCCTACCCTGAGAGCCCTGCCGCCTCTCACCTCCACTGCACCAGCTGGACCTCTGTCATGTCTCACCTGACCTCGCCATGGTTCTCCTCATTGCTCCTGCGCATTCCGCCCTGGCCCTTCCCCTTGTGCCTACCGCAGCAGCCAGAGGGGCCTGTTTGATGGATATCAGATCACACTAACTGTTCTGTCCAAAACACCAGAGCTCCCACGTGTTGCTTACAGTGCTGGCCGAGGTGAGGACCGTGGCCGGCGCCCTGTCAGCCCCTCTGCTGTCTCCTTGCACACTGGTGCAGTCACCACGGCCTCACTGATCCCGTGCCTCCCTCGGGTCTTGGCACTCACTGCTCCCTCTTCCTAGAAGCTCTTTCAACACTGCATGGCTCAGCCTTTGCTTCCCCTTCCTTCAGGTCTTTCCCAGATGTTACCTTCCCACAGAGGCCTTCCCTAATCGTTGTATTTAAAATTGCCAGGCCATTTTCCAGCTTCCTAATTCCTCTCCCAGCTGTCTTTTTATCCCCCCCACTTTTTGTTTTTGTTTTTTGTTTTATGAGACAGGGTCTCGTTGGCCTTGAACTCACTTTGTAGCCCAGGCTGGCCTCAATTTGCAACGATCTTCCTGCCTCAGCTTCCCGAGTGCTGGGATTACAGGTGTGCGCCACCATGCCCAGCATGCAGCTTTATTTTTCTACGTAGCACATTTCTTCATCTAACATACCACATATTTTACTTGTTTGTTTTGTCTCCCACAATAGTAAGCTTCCTGAGAACAAGGATTCTTCTCTGTTCACTCCTGTATTTCCAGAGTCTACAGGAGTGCCTGGCACTAGTAGATGCTGAATAAATATTGATTGGATAAATAGAGGATTGTTTTTGCTTTTCAAGATGAAAGCTGAAGAAACGAGCATGTTCTGACTTGTCCAATTTCCCTTCCTGCAGTGGCCGAGCTCTGTATCCTGTATAGACAGAACGAGGAGCAAGTGGTAAGCGAGTTGGTAGCCTTCTGCACCAGCACGGGCAAAGTCTGTCTCACCTCAGAGACCCTGAGAACATTCGAGCATGAGGTAGGAACAGAGTGAAGCAGACTTCTGTAATCTGCTTGGGGAGGTGTGCGATACGTTGAGAAGGGTGTGGGCCTTGGAATCAGACCTGGATTCCAGGCCCAGGGTGAGCTTAGACAAACTAGTGAATACCTCTGAGCCTCAGTTTCATGTCTATCAGGGGTTCTAACAATCCATATTTTTATGATTATTCTCATAATTAAATGGGAATAAAAGTAAAGCACTGAAGATTATGGCCAGCAAGTAGTGGCTCTTGACCAAATAATTGGTGTTATTAGAAGTTGTTATTTTTGATTATATTTTGGGTGCCTGTTATCTCAAGGCTGTGGAAAATGCCTTCATCTGACCAGACTATGGAGTAATATATTCACTCTCTTCTCTTTCTCAGATCTTGAGCAAGAGATTGTCCAAAACATGGCCCAGCGCCGCCAAAGACAGCGGACATGCGGGATCCAGAGACATTATTTCTATCCAAGAGCTGTATCCTTTTCTGCTGGAGGTCTGTGCATCAAGCCACATACTGTGTTGTAATTTTTTTCTACAGTTGCTTGTGTAATTTTAAAACAAATAATAAAGATTACCTCATATGCATGAGGTAATCTTAAGTTCGTTATTGTTTTCCTTAACTAATATTTGTAGAATTGAAGTGGAGGAAGAAGAGGAGACCCTTTTGAACTCTTACACCACACCCTCTAAGGTGAATATACAGTGTTTGAAAATTGCATTCTACTGATGGCATTTTAAAAAAATATTGCTGGGCCTGGTGGCGCACGCCTATAATCCCATCACTCAGGCGGCTGAAACAGGAAGATCGCTGCAAATTTGAGACCACCCTGGGCTACATAGTGAGCTCAAAGCCAGCCTGAACCACATAGCAAGACCCTTTCTCAAACTACCCCCACACCCACCCCCCAACAAAAAAAAACAAAAAAAACATTGTCATGCCTAGGCATGGTGGTACACGTCTATAATCTCCGCACTCAGGGCTGAGACTGGAGGATCACTGTAACTTTGAGGCTAGCCTGCGCTACGTAGTGAAACCTTGTCTTAAATAAAATAAAAATTTTAAAAAGGTTGGGGATGTAAGCTCAGTGCAAAGGCTGTGGATTCAGGCACTAGTAACACAGAAACATACACACAAGCATAACCTTTGAAGATCTGAGCCAGAAAATCACCCACACTTGTACTATACAGTAGTTCCCCTTAGGCATCTTTTTTTCCAATCAGATTCATAAATATTTTTACAAAATAGCAACCCTTGGTTGGACATGGAGGATCACTGTGAATTCAAGGCCAGGATGGGCTATGTAATAAGTTCAAAGCTGGCCTGAACTACGTAGTGAGACCCTGTCTAAAAAAAAAAAAAAAAAGCAGTCTTTATGAGCATATAGTTACCCTGCTTTTTTCAGTCAGCTTGTCAAAAATTTCTACCAAATTGCCCTTTTTAAATTTTTATTTTATTTTATTTTTTGAGACAGGGTCTCAATGTGTAGACCAAGCTGCTGTTGAACTCACACATAGCCCAGGCTGGCCTCAAACTTGCAATGATCCTCCTACCTCAGCCTCCCAAGTGCTGGGATTACAGGTGTGTGCTACCATGCCTTGCAATAATTATTCTTTATGGTATATAAATTTCTGAAAATCCATAAATATGGAACAAGTCTCAATTTTTCAATGGAAATAGCATACTAAGAAATAAGGCTGGGCATAGTGGCATATGCCTATAGCCCCAGCAGCTTGGGAGGCTGAGGCTGGAGGATCACAAGTTCAAGGCTGGCCTGGGCATCTTAGTGAGACCCTGTCTCAAAATTTTTAAGGAAAGGTTGGGGATATAGCTTGTTGGTACAGCACTTGCTTAGCATGTATAAAGCCTGTATTCAATCTCTAGTACCACGTAGAAAGAAGAAAAGAGGGAGGGAAGGAGAAAGAAAGGGAAAGGGAAGGAAGGAGGGAAAGAAAGAGCCCGGTGCAATGGTGCAGGTCTCTGATCTCAGCACTTGGGAGGCTGAGGCAGGAGGATTGCTTCAAATTCAAGGCTAGCCTGGGCTACATAGCAAGACCCTGTCTCCAAAAACAAAAACTATGCCCTACAAAGTTATTAACACAATCTAGGTACAGGAAATCACGACATTTTCGTTACAGTTTAAGATTGGAGAGACTGGGGCTGGGGATTTAGCTCAGCGGCAAAAGCGCCTGCCT